GACCAAGAGGACAAGGAGTTAGCAACGTCAGGGTGGATTCTACAGGAACTTTTAGGAAAAGCATTATTATTTTCTATGCTAAGTTAATGCTTTGGTTTATAAGCTGACAAAGGGAAATAGCAAACAGCACTCAAAGCCCAAGTTTTGTACTATAGGAAATATTGACATGAAAACTTTACAGACATTTTAAAAGGATTATTATTTTCAGTCTATTTAGCGGTAATTTAGAGAAATGGAATCTAAAAACATCTCATCCCCAGATACTTTCCTCCAATGAAAACTATGTAAAGTGTTGCTCAAATATTTTCACTATAAGGAGTCAGTGTTTCTCATTGCTAATATCAAAGACCCATCTCCATAGTCCTTTCCTAGCCAATTCCTGAGAATGCCCAGGCAAGAACTGTGAGATCAGTAGTGTTAATGTTAACAAAAGTTCTTATGTACATATTCCTGGATTCTGACCAGTTTTACCATCACTATCACCTTTTTTCGTCATCTTTTCTATAGGCCATGTCTACATATCATTTGGATTGTTTGGTGTATAATTAATTATATCGCTCATTTTTACAATGAGCAAGAATTATGGACTCTAAATTGCTGACAGGTTATCTTAATGACCCAATTAACTAAATGCATCTAATTATTTTAGACATTAATAAATTCAGTTGACTCTTAGTGATGCAATAGATCTTTTAATGGCCATTTGAAATCAAGTAGAATTGATTCCAGATAGGTTTCACAGCAATGAACTATTTTAAGAGATTTTGCCATGTATGTATCCACTCTGATATGCAGACATGGAGAAAACTAAAGGTTTTACAAAGTGGAGCTCCTTGCTGGTTTTATTCTATAACTAACAAGTTTTTTTCCATGTGAAATTTGCTTTTCTTTTTCAACAAATCCAGGTCTTGGATGTTCAGGAAACTATAGATCGTCAACAGGGTAAAGAGTATGAACATGACCTTAGTGAGACAGAAAAAGCTATAGTCAGAGAAATGTGCAATGTAAGTTTAATGTGCTTTGTTGTGTACTCTGTGTTGAAAGCCTCATCGTAGCTTAGTGACTGCTTCATGAATATCTACTTTTAAAATGCTGGTCGAGTGCCTTAATTATTTATGTGAAAATAAAATCAACTCCCCTTGTTTTTATCTTTAGTATTAACATAATCATGTTATAAAACATTCAGGTAAGCAATAATCAGCCAATATACTCCAGAATTATGAAAGTTTCTAAATAGTAAATTTATTGTCTAAAATGTATTACTAGTTTTATAAAATAAATGGGTTTCTGTTTCATACTTTTAAGAAGTTCCTTAGAAATCAGTGTTTAAAATTTGCGATAAAGAAAAAACAGATTCCTTTGGATTTATTTGTACTATACTTGGGGGAAAAAAGTCACCATCTTAATAGGTAATATCTGCTAGGTTCTTCATGCGGATATGTGTGTTTCATGTCATGCAAAGTAGTATCTTTACCTTTCAGTGGCAGACAAGCTCAGAATATAGTAATAGGAGACAGACACAAAAATCAATCTATGAAGTCATAGAGGAACACAGTAAAAAAAATTGACATGCTATTTTCATGATGCATATCTTATGTGATCATTATGTGGTTTGAATTTTGTTATTAATCCCTGACTAAATTTTTATTCTTTCAGTAATATGCATGGACATATCATTTATTCAAAAATATAATTGTGAAGCTTATTAAAAAGCTAAATAGAATATTGTAGAGGAACACATTTGTTAAAAGCAAAAAATCATGGAAGGTTATATTAATTACTCATTTTAATTGGCTTCATATATATTGTACTTTTATCCTTATATTCTCTGTCCATTAGGATATCAAAATTGTTTAGAAATACCCTTAAGCTGTAGGACCAGGTATTCTCAGACACTTATCTCTTTGAGGTCTTCTTGGAATAGAGTAAAAGTTACAAAGTCCTATGGGTATTTTATATGTGCTGGGAAAAGAGTTTTAAGTTTCCTGCTTGTTTGTGTTGTGGCTGTTTTTCTTTTGCAACCCTTTCCAAGTCATTTTTCTTTCTTTCCTGCATATCTGTTTTTGTCTGTTTTCAAAGCGTCATTAGTTTTAGATGGCATGATTTCCTAACTGCATCGCTGTTTACCTGCTGTAGCTTTTCAGCCTGTCCTTAAGGTTTTCAATTAGAGTATTTCCCTTAGAGAGATTTAAGAATTCAAGCCACACACCTAGGAATGACTGTTGTTTCTCATCTGTTGACTGTGGAATGGGGAAGTTCAGACATTAGCAATTGTAGCAGTAGAGAGGGCCACAGAGGTCATCTCTCAGTGGGTCTCCAAAGAGCAGTGTGTGGAGCTCCTTCATAATTCAGAGATCTGAGTTTTACCCCAGACCATGGGCAATTTGGATAGCACTTACTGGGCAAGAACACCACACTTGCATTTTATGTTTGAGGAAATGAAGATCCTGAAATTTGTTACTTGCTCAAATTGTTATCTACAGAACAGTTAAATGAGCAGGAGTCTACCCACATCTCCTCTGAGGACTAGCTCTCCCCACTTTCCCAAGTATGGCAAATCTGGGGACTTCCATTTTCTTTCCTTGGGAATGAAAAGTAATGCGTCTTACATCTCCAGTGTGCTTAATGCCAGAAATTCTGTACAGAGGTGCCAGAATTATTTCTTTTTTTGCCTCTTAAAATTTTAGATGAAAGATTTCTAGACATCACGAAATTTTTCTTAATCACAGAAGGGACCTACTCATGGATTGTACCTTGATTAGTTTGTAAAGATCTTTTAGTTTGCCTCTTTTCCCAAAAATAGGCCAAAGGGCCCCATGCACTGGTATTGTTTTTCCCCTATAGAAACTATTTTCCTGAAGCCAGAAGCTTTCCTTCTTTGTTTGCCTTTAAACATTCTCTGGGAAACCTTTCTAACTGTCCACTTTTGTATCTGATTGCCAGAATTTGAAAAAAATAAAATACAAGCCAGCCCAAATCTGACAATGAGCACTCATATATTTGGAAACTGCTTAAAAGCCAAGGGAAAAAAGTGTTGACTTAAAATATTTGCTTCACCATTATAAAAACATCAAAACCACAAATCAAATACTAGAGAACAGAGAAATGTTTTTGCAAAATGTTTTCATGGATAAGTAATTTCTTAGGGACCAGCTAAGATTGTGAAACCTATTAGAGGAATGATGTGCTTTTATAATAATGGCACAGACATATAAAGCCTTCTCGTGATGTGAGATCAGTTGTAAGACTCAGAACTTGATGGAAGCTTTGCCTCCCCCTGAAGATAAGCTGTTGATGTCTATACAACAGAAGACTGGTATTCACAGCACATCATGCTGGTTAGTAAGCACGAAGGGCTTCATTCCCTTCCCAAACTGTGCCACAGAAATAAATAGTGAATCTATCTTTTTGTGTTAATGGTTTTATCTTAGGTTTCTCTGTTTGACTCTTATAAATTCCTGAGATTTTCTAGCTGAAATACTTGATAGGTCATCTAGGCCACAATCTCAGACACCAACCTGGTCTGCTCTCTTAGTTAGCGGGTCCCTATTCTGTGTCCCCTTAGCATCCTTGGCTTATTTCAGAGTCTTCCTGCTCTGCATTTCCTTTCACCACCTGGCCCGCTGCAGTCTACATCTGAGCACCTGAAGAGGGGTTGCATTTTGATTTGTAACCATCTAATGCTCTGGGTCTATGATCCTTTGAGGTTTTGCGTTTATCTTCTACTTCTACACCACAGATTTAAAGCATGCTGGGTAGATGCAATTATATTTACAATTTAAGGGCTAGAAAGAGATGCTACCTTGGCTTCCTGATTAGATGTTTATATCTCTTCACAGTCAGTTTATTAAAAAATGAGATTCTCTTAACTCCCTTGTGTACAGCTTGAGCCATCCGTTGCTATTACATTCCTTTCCAATAGTTAAGGACCATAACTACAACTCTCTTCAAATATGACAGGACATTTCTGCCACACAGTAGTGTCTGCTAAAACCTGGAGACTATAATAGTTGCACCAGCTTACAAATTAAAGTACACAGAACCCTGTATTATTCTTACCAGGTTTCTCTGCAGTATCTATTCTATTTAAAAGAAGCACAAAACAAAAACACACACAGTCTATAAAATAATGAATGAACCAACTAGTTTTGTGTTCATGTTATAGCCATGTAAATTTTTGTGGAATTTACCAACCTGAACATAATCTTTACAGTGAAACACTCTAGGAGGGTTAATGATTGTTACTGTGTGTATATGTGTGTTTTCCAGTTACTGTTAGCATAATAATATCTTATTGGTGAATTCAGTAGTTTTACCTTATATTTTATTCTTAATCTCGCCGTTACTACTGTCCCTCTAAAATGGTCCAATTTTTAACATTGTGATTGTATCTAGTTCAGTGATTCTCGACTGTATTCTTATCTTTTCCCCGCATTTGATGCTTTCTGTTTTGGTAATCTGAGAGATCATACTGTTTGGTAGCTAAGATTCATGATTGAAGCCCCAACTCTGCAGGGATATTTACTAGTGGCCCTCAAGCTATCAGCTCAGGACTTAAATAGCTCAAGATCAAAGCTTCCTCAATTTCCTTTGATATCCCTTGTTAGAGAAGCATAATATAGGAATCAGGATGATTTTGCTTAGCGGTTCTTAATTCTCACTACACATTAGAATCACATTAGGATCTTTATAAAGATACAGTGCCTGCGCCTCACCTCCATCAGGGCCATCTCCGAGGGTGGGGCTCCTGTGTCAGAGTCCTCCACGCGCACAGTGTGCAGCTGGACCTGAGCAGCAGAGCCTAGTGGTCCCACCTGCTGAGTAGGTCTTGTAATTTAGAAGCTTGCACCACATTTCATTTGTGTTTGAGCTCATTCACGTGGATATTTTGTCTCTTGTCTTCACATTGCTCTTGGCCCCCCTCATAAATCTCCCTTAAAAACATACATCTCTTTGTGGAAGAGAACAATTAAGATGCTTGCTTTTTTTTTTTTTTAAAGGTTGTGTGGAGGAAACTTGGAGATGCTGCAGGTTCGTGTCCTGGGATTAGGCAGCATTTGTCTGGAAACCAGTACAAAGGACCAATGTGAGAAACATGCTTTCAAACATGAGGTCACCACTGCCAGAAACAGATAACAGAAAAGAAGAGTGGATTTCCACAAACCTGAACTCATGGAATAACATGGAGTGATTGTACATTGCACATATTTTCCCTCTAAAAACCTTTAGTATAACTAAAGCTGTATTTTATGTCTCTCGCTTTGATGTCTACAATAGTCAATTTCAAACAAGGTAGCTTTGAAAGTCACCATTTTGGTACCAATATTTTCATTAGAACAAAACGTTTTTGACTCCTTAGATCTAAGATTATAATCGGGAAACACGCATGATTGGAAGAGTACAGTAGAGCCTTGGTGGTTTTGATAGAGTTGAAACATAGCATTTAATGGTGGGAGTTTTCTACCATGTTGTACTGAAGATAAGAAGAGGTAGGTATCTTCCACCTTCCCAAGATTGAGAGTTCTGAGTACCTATTTCTTATATTTTAGTCAACAAAATACTAGTTCCTGATGCATAATTTAGATGCAAGATAAGATTAGATTTCCGGGATTTTGTTCTGACTTTTGAGGTGCTACACTACTACATAAATTCTCTTTACCAGCTGGTAGCAAGACTTTGTAGAGTGCTTATCAGAGAGTACCATTTATTTCAAATGCTCAAAATAAATTTCTTTTAATCCTGATGTATTTTTCATGAAGACACTTCTTGGGACATGTCATCCTCCATCGTCACCCAGTGTATCAATTGATAATATTAACTATTTCAAGAACAAGCAAACAACTTTTCTAAGTGTTTTCAGCTGTGAGATGTCAATTTCTACAATTTAGTTTCTAGACATGCTGTTATATTTAATAAACTTCATGTAAACTTTTAAATATTGCACTGCATTTATGAAAACAGCAGCTAATGTTTTATGAAACTGGCGCATGTCCTTCATTGAGGCTAAAAGCTTTGTTCAGATTGCCTGAGGTTTGAAAAAGAGGTGTGCTAGCTTTGCTTAGTTTATTTCTAAATTTTGGTATATATAATATTAGACTGTGTGTACTGAAAATGCTATGATAGGTATTTTGTGTTTACTCAAATGCAATGATAGTTTCCTGTATGAATGTGCAAGAGGCTTGTGACAGAATGCTAAGTTTTTACTGTAGTTTAAGGTTATAAAAGTAGGAATGCAACAATTACCAGTCTTCTTCTAAATTACTCATATTTGATTCATAGCAGATACTCTCTATTGTTGTTTTTAAATGGGCTTATTACACAGTTTATTAATTGTCATTGGTGAAGGGATTTTATTATAGTTTTTAAATTGTGATAAAAGCCAGTCCTCTGCTTTCAGAAAATATTTATGAGTTAATTTATTATAGACTGATCTCTCTAATTATCATAATTGGGTTACCATTTAAGCCTATCTTTCTTTTTATATTTTTAAAATATTACTACTCTGTAAAAGAAAATTGCTTGCTATATTTACACCTTCTCTTGTTAGAAAAGCTTTCATCCCTAAATTGTTGTATTCCTACACTCTGAAGACACATTTAAAATAAGTTTTTGTGCCTGCAGAAGCTAATACAAGGAACACTGGTCTTTTGACAAAATACTTGTGTAAATTTTGATACTGTATTAAAACTATTTTTTTAAAGTTCCACATAAAATGGAGTATCAAGTATGTGTTCATCTTAGCACTGGTAATAAATTATTTAATCTCACAGTGTTTCTTTTTCTTCAAAATGTTTTTTCTAAATGACATTTCTAATAGTCACTAAATACCATAATGCTCATGTATGATGATAGTAATAGTATAGATGACTTATTACCTTAAATATGAAACAAAGCCATGCTTTTAAACATGCTCTCAATGCGGGGTTTAATATTCAGATATTCCTCAACTCACACTATTTTCTATTATAATGTAAAAAATTTAGAATATTGAAAAGTTTGTTATAAAACCTTCGTTTGTTATTTTAATTCATCTAGATTCAAATTAAACCTAATTTCTAACTATTACTTAAAATCATCAGAAGGAAATTTACTGGAGGGGAAATTAAAAACTTAGCCTCTGTACTTAGGAAGCTTGTATATTACTGAGGGAAGAGGTAATATACACATATAACCAAGACATAAATCAGAAAAAATAAACAAATGGGACTACATCAAACTAGCAAAGAAAACCACCAACAAAATGAAAAGAAAACCCATTGATTGGGTGAACATATTCACCAATGAAACATCTAATAAGAGGTTACTATCCAAAATTTATAAAGAACTTATAAACCACAACACTAAAAAAATTCAATCCAATTAAAAAATGGGCAAAGCACCTGAATAGACACTGCTCCACAGAGGACATACTGATGGCCAAGAGACATAAAAAGATGCTCATGTCACCAATCAGAGAGATGCAAATGAAAACCACAGTGAGATGTCGCCTCACACCTGTCGGAATGGCTCCGTGAACAAATCAACAACAATGTTGGCGAGGGTGTGGGGAGAGAGCCCTGGTGCACGGTTGGTGGGAATGCGGACTGGGGCAGCCGCTGGGAAAAACAGTATGGGTTTCCTCAAAAAAATGGAGCTGCCCTATGATCCAGCGATTCCACTCCTGGGAATATATGTGAAGAAACCTCTAACACTATTTAGAAAGAATATGCACCCCTATGTTCGTTGCAGTGTTATTTACAACAGCTAAGATCTGGAAGCAGCCCAAGCGCCCCTCAGTAGAGTGGATGAAAAAGCTGTGGGACATTTGCACCATGGAACACTACTCAGCCTTAAAAAAAAGGAAATATTACCTTTTATGAAGCATATTTGGATCTGGAGAGTATTAGGCTAAGTGAAATAAGCCAGTCAGAGGAAGACAAACACCAGATGATTTCACTTATATGTGGAACCTAATGAGCAAAATAAACTGACAAACGAAATAGAAACAGACTCATAGAGACAGAACAGGCTGACAGCTGTCAGGGGCTGCGGGTGGTGGTTGGGTGTCTGGATGAAAAAGGTGAAGGGATTAAGCAAAGAAGCCCCAAAACTCATAGATACAACAGTATGGTAAATACCAGAGGGAAAGGGGGTGGGGGAGGTAGAAGAGGGTAAAGGGGAGAGTAAATGGTGACAGAAGGAGACTTGATTTTGGGGTGGTGAACACACAATATACAAATGATGTATTATAGAATTATGCACTTGAAACCTATATAATTTTATTAACCAACGTCACCCCAATAAAATAAAAATTTAAAAAATAGAACGGTTAAAAAATAAGAGATCAAATGATAGAGACAAATAGAAATGTAAATACGACATACGAAAAAGTTTGAGATGCAGCCAAAGCAGTTCTAATGGAGTATTGCTGCAAACTAAGGATGGCTGCCAGGTGCCCCAAACAAGCAAAGCTTGATGCCCGCATCGCGAGGAATTCTAAGGGGACTGACAATCGCCAGGCATTTTGACCCCTGGGTCAGGCAGGGAACAGAGCGGAGAGGAAGGATGTTTGAATGGGAGACACAGGGCAGCGTCTTCAGTTCCGTGACACCCGGATGAAAAGCGGCCCCGTGCCCAGGCCGTTAGGCACGGACACAGCCTACCCTGAACTTGTCCCCCTGGCTCCCGCATACTTCATGCAGACAGGCTGAAACAGCTCCCAGCCCCAGCGGCCTGTGCCTGCGTCTCCTGAAGCAACTTGGGAAATAAACAGCAGGCTGGTGAGGAAATCCTAGAGTGAGTGTAGGACCAAGCATCACCCGGCGCTGGAGGGGGCCAAGCGACGAGCCAAAAGCCCAAACCCCGACGGAGCAAAGGCCATACACCAGGTGAAAGAACGAAGAAGGCTTCCGAAGTACAGCCAATGTTCTCAGAAAGATGGTAAATATTGCATTCATTAGAATCTTGCATCTCGGGAATAAAATGTTAGTGTAAAAAAACCTCGATGCGTTGGCTGCGTAGCAGGAAGGACACCGCTGAGAGCAATTCAGTGAGACTGAGGCCAAGAAACTTTGCCAGGATTCGGCAGTTTTTTTAAAGTCTGGAAGTTAAGAAAAATGGAGGCTCTGTCCCCAGGTTCCCGCTGTGCTTTCTCCCTCCCTCACCCTCTACCACTCCCTTAACCCGCCCCTCCTCCTCTTTCCTGGTTGTTTCTTAATCGCCCTATTTTATATGTTTCAATGTCAAAGGCCACCAGAACCCTCTGAAGTCAGGCTAAGTCGCCCGCGAAGAGCAGCCGTTCCGTCGCGGTTTAGTGCTGTCCCTTTAAAACGCAGCAGATCTCGTTTTACAGTAAAGTTTCCCATAGTTTTGATGCCCAAGTTTTAATTCGTGGATCTTTTTACCACGACGCCTTTTGTTTCTTACCTTAGGCCCTTCATTTTTCTAGATCCTGTTCTAAAGTAATAGCACACAATATATAACATCATAATTGCCATGGCAACAGATTCATATGCTAATCGGCAGTGTAGTTTTACAGAAGCACAAAAGGTCTGAATTTGGCCTTTGATTCTAAGAACCGTTGTTGGGTGTGGGCCCGGCTGCGTGCGCTTAATATAGCCTTGCGGGGAGGCCTCAAAAAATGTTCTCCCTCTGCGAGGATCTGGTCGGTAAGAACGGGTTTGATAGGCCACAAAAGGGTCTCTAGGGCTGTGTGTCCCCCTCACCTAGGCCTCCCAGGCGATACTGAACACGGTGGTGGCCTCCCCAGGATTCATTTTGCCTTCCTCCTTTCTAAGGGAGCCTCTACTTTGCTTCAGAGCACCCCCTTCCGCAGTGCCCAGGAGGCTGCGGAGACCCTGTCCCCGGTCCAGAGCTGAGCCCTGGTCAGCCCGAAGCCCGGCCCCAGCCCGGCCTGGCCGCTCCCGCCCGTCAGCCTTCAGGGAGCCGCTCGGGCCTCACCCAGGGCAGCCGGGGGCCCTGGGGGCCGCGCCACCCAACAAGGCTCAGCGCAGCTCTCAGCGGAGGAGCTGGACGTTAGGGGCAGGGGCGAGGCTCGCTTCCCTCCCTCTCCATGCGCTAAGAAGATTTGTCTGCTGCTTGCAGCCACGTCGGCTGTCGTCGGAGAAGTCACCCTGGGGAGAAAGCGCGCGCGGGGAAGGGCAGAGGGGGGAAAGGGAGCTAAGACATGGGTTGTACTTTGTCTAGAATCCACTCTACTTCTGGATGCTCAAATAGGTAGATTTTTTCTTCTTGTTGTTTTAAATTAATTTGATTTGGGATTTTTGTTGCTGCCCAAAATCCTACTCAATAAAGTTGTACACTTTCAATGTTATAAGTTGGATATATGCTCTCCTAATAGAGTGAATTAGGGGATAAATATTCTATATGAAGGTGGCTTAGTTTTAAGTCTTTTAGAGTGTGTTTAAACAACTGATTCCTTTAACTACTGTCAAAAAAGAGATTATTATTTTATGTAATGGAATAAAATAAATTAGCAAATGGAGCTTCCTGGTTTTCCTCATTCTTTCTGCTGGTTTTGCACCCCCCATCCTGACCCCTCCATCTGGGAAAAAAGGCAAGAAGCAATGTTAAAGCAGGTAGCAGGAGAGGTGACCAGCAGAACCAGTAAGAACAACGAAAATGTCTATCATGCATAAGTACACTTGGTTTTTATTACAATTCTATTCATTATTATTATTTTATTTTTTAAAAAAACCCTGAAAATTTAGCCAGTGAAAGAAGCTTTCCAATTTATTTGATTGGACAATAAATGATTTTATACCCGATAATTTTTAAGACCAGCACAGATGTGACAAGTTACAACCAGCTCGCTTCTGATAGGCAAGGTAGAATCTTCCCAATTCGTGCAAGCTGCTGCAAAGCTGAAAGGTGCCAATTAAGAAATCATCTCAATCTAGTAGCTGCATAGTATATTAAAATATATGGCACTTGGCATCAAATGAGAACATCAGTGAGTAAGAAAAGCCTTGAAAGACCTCAAGATGGGAAAAATGTTTACTAAAACAAGGATTACTCTTGGTGAAGTTAAGCAACAAATAATATGGGAAACAGAAAACGTGACAAGAATGAAGTGGTTTAAGCCAAATATTAACAATTAACTCTGTGTCTTATAAAGAAGTGCATTTTGTAAATGCAAGTCAGCAGTAATAATTTGTCATGGCAAGTCATAGAAAAGCATTCAACTAATTCCAATCCCTGGCATTTGGCCCTCTTAATTGAACATTTTATTTATTCATATGCCAATTAGGTGGCTTTAACTGCCTCTCTGGGTATTATTCATCTTTTCATAATGATACAAAAAGAGCAGAGTACAGCAGGTTCCTAGAAATAAGAATGAATGTGGACACGTGTGGTGTCTTTCACTAATGAAAGGCAGCAGTGATGTTTGTTACTGACCCAGGGTCCACTGTGGATGCTGATGTATGTTGTTTCATTTTGATGAAGGATTTACCAAAAGTCGCTGGAGTGCCTACTCCTCTAGAGTAGAAATCATTTTTCGTTTGCACTAGTGTTTTCAGCGCCTAGCACAGAAAAGTGAGCCATATTTTGATGCTGCTGTGAGAGTCAGAACACAGAAGATGGCCCTGTGACAATGCTGCTTCCACAAGAGGTTCCTGTCTCATGAATTTTTTAGGAATTGTCTATGAATTCCTAAAAAATATGTCTATCTGCATGAAAACATCCAAATATCAATGAGGTTACAAAATTCCAGTCTTTCACCATTGTTTCCCGTGTGAGACCCATATAAACATGATCTCTACAGCAG